CATTCAGAGCTCATTCAGACCTACATTCCTCATTCAGACCTACACTCCTCATTCAGACCTCATTCAGACCTACACTCCTCATTCAGATCTACACTCCTCATTCAGACCTCATTCAGAGCTCATTCAGACCTACACTTCTCATTCAGACCTCATTCAGACCTCATTCAGACCTACACTCCTCATTCAGACCTACACTCCTCATTCAGACCTCATTCAGACCTCATTTAGACCTACACTCCTCATTCAGACCTCATTCAGACCTACACTCCTCATTCAGACCTCATTCAGACCTACACTCCTCATTCAGACCTCATTCAGAGCTCATTCAGACCTACACTCCTCATTCAGACCTCATTCAGACCTACACTCCTCATTCAGACCTACACTCCTCATTCAGACCTCATTTAGACCTACACTCCTCATTCAGACCTACACTCCTCATTCAGACCTACACTCCTCATTCAGACCTCATTCAGACCTACACTCCTCATTCAGACCTCATTTAGACCTACACTCCTCATTCAGACCTCATTTAGACCTACACTCCTCATTCAGACCTCATTCAGACCTACACTCCTCATTCAGATCTACACTTCTCATTCAGACCTCATTCAGACCTCATTCAGACCTACACTCCTCATTCAGACCTCATTCAGACCTCATTCAGACCTACACTCCTCATTCAGACCTCATTCAGACCTACACTCCTCATTCAGACCTACACTCCTCATTCAGACCTCATTCAGACCTACACTCCTCATTCAGACCTACACTCCTCATTCAGACCTCATTCAGACCTACACTCCTCATTCAGACCTACACTCCTCATTCAGACCTACACTCCTCATTCAGACCTCATTCAGACCTCATTCAGACCTCATTTAGACCTACACTCCTCATTCAGACCTCATTCAGACCTACACTCCTCATTCAGACCTCATTCAGACCTACACTCCTCATTCAGACCTCATTCAGAGCTCATTCAGACCTACACTCCTCATTCAGACCTCATTTAGACCTACACTCCTCATTCAGACCTACACTCCTCATTCAGACCTCATTCAGACCTCATTCAGACCTACACTCCTCATTCAGACCTCATTTAGACCTACACTCCTCATTCAGACCTCATTTAGACCTACACTCCTCATTCAGACCTCATTCAGACCTACACTCCTCATTCAGACCTACACTCCTCATTCAGACCTCATTTAGACCTACACTCCTCATTCAGACCTACACTCCTCATTCAGACCTCATTCAGACCTACACTCCTCATTCAGACCTCATTTAGACCTACACTCCTCATTCAGACCTCATTTAGACCTACACTCCTCATTCAGACCTCATTCAGACCTACACACCATATAGAGCACACACATACACTATATAATGTTGTGTATTTCAAGGTTCTTGCAGGTCTCTGCTTTTTGGTGCCGGTTCCGTAACAGTTCTTTATTCGTTACTTGTTATTGTATTTAGAACAGAATAGAAACAGAAGCGATACAGGCCGCAGCAGCGTCACCTGTAAGTGTTTTGAGACATTTCCTTCTAAGGACATTATTACTTCCTGAGCTGCAGACTGCTCAGTCCGTGTGTTACGGGAAAATGTTTTCTGTGTTGGTTCCATGGATCATTGTTGTTCTCAGGTTGCTGAAAATTCACTTTCAATAAAGAGTTATTTAAATATTTAACTTTGATCCTCCTTTTTCAAATGATCTATTGTTTTGTACAGTATTTATTCACACATGCTGCCAATACATTTTTATAGATATTTAAACGAGAGGAATTTCTGATTTAAGGTTGATGCATTGGGATAACACAGCTATTGAATCACGTTAAAGTTACAAATAAAAATTGAGTACACTGTACATCATGAATTTATTCCATGATACAAACAAAATATGTAACTGTAACTGATTCAGAATGTATAGGATCAACATCATTTTTATCATAACCTCAATGTGATTAAATTGTTTATATTTCACAAATAATAATTGAGTAATCTCAACACATAATTGTTACATAAACTTAATGGGCTAATAATACATAGAGGCAAAATGATTTTTTCACGATTCATGATGTGAATGAGTCATTTTGGTTTGACGTATTCAGATTACGTGGGACCGATGTACGCATTAAAATCATGTAAATTCAACAAGTTTTTTTTTTCAGTGTGTATGCATTGGTTTATTTGATTAGGACTGTATATGTTAAGTGACATACATATGAACAAGCATGATATTAAACATACAAGATATTTTCAAAATTGACTGAAACGCTTAGTCCAAGTCAAATTCGAAATTGTGGTATTTATGTGTAAGATATTAGCGCTTCTTCTTCTACTATATCTGCGTGTATATACCCGGCAGACTGCACCGGCCGGGTACGTAACGTCCGGCCTGGTCCTGTTCCACAGAGGCCAGAAACTTTACATGCAGCCTGCGCCTATCAAAAAAATTACTTTGCTTCAAAAGTTATTGAGTCACACACAAAAAAGAAAACATTGGATTGACACAACCTAAGAACCAATGAGCAGCAGCGACAGCACGAGACTATCAATAAACCCTGATCTTGAATTTCTAACCGGCTGCCAAAAACTTTTGCAGATACATGTAATTGCTCCCACATACCTCATTCAGCTGTGAGATGTAAAACATTTTGGCTGAGAAAGTTCAAATTAAAAGAGGGCATCTCTTGTTTTTGTTTTTTTATATTATCGTGAACAAGTTAAATCTTTGTGTGCCATTAAAGACGACTTGTAGCACATGCACGTCGGCTTATTGGTGTTGCCTTATTGATTAGCCTCCTTCATTCGCAGTTTCTCATCCTCTTTTCTCCAGCGCCGCTCATCAATACACCTCACACACTTGATATTGTCGGCCTCTCTTGTCTAGCACGTTCAGCAGGGGTGTCCAAACTAAGGCCTGCCAGACAATTGTGGCCCGCCGTGTCAATTTTCGACTTTACTTATGTGGCTTCTTGTTAACTCAACATAGCCATTCCTTTCATAAACAGAAGTTCACAGTGTCATTCAGCCAACTTCAGCTCCACCATTTTAGACAGATTAGCTTACAACCAAACATATAGCTTACAACCACAAGCCTGAAAAAGATTTTAATGGTATGACTGACACGTGTTGTCGATGTCATACAAGCCTGTGTTGTTCCTCAGAAGAAGGATGTAGAGTTGTTTCTCCATTGCAATGCTTTAGATTACTGTTAAAGGTCCTATATCACGCTTTTCTTCATGTTTCACACTCAATCCTATACACATGTGTGATATTAATGTGTATGATACACCACACAACACTCAAAGCTTGTGAGATTAGAGCCATCTCTTGTATAGAGGTGACGTCACCTCGACTCAAACGAGCTGATCCAGAGTCTGCTCCTCTGCCTGTGAGCCCGCCTCCCCCCGCCCGCGCGGTGACGTAGCATCACGCTTTTGTCGTTTATCACCTGTACTTAGTCATTTCATAGATAAGAATAAACTTTTTCCAACAATGACAATCCGTCACATCGAGCCCTATGTCCTCAATGCACAATCAGACCCTAGTTATTTAGTTTACAGAAGTATACAGCGAGTTAGCGTCACTACTTACAGATCGAGGGGGTCCGAGTTACGTCTTTACCGTGGGAATAACGTGTTTCCACATCAGCCTTTGAGTAAGTCCAGTTCCATTGTCCCTGTAGTTCTGGAACAGTCTCAGTGAAGTGTCGCAGATGAACCGGTTTATAATAGATCCATGAGATGAACAGATGAAAAAAGTCGAGCCGCTTTCTTCCTCTTAGTGCCAAATAGTGCGTCACATATTTACACCCATAACACACTTCATTCAAGTTGACGTGATCCTAACACTTTTAGTTGCTGACAAAAGCATAAAAACAGCAGCTCTATGTGGTGTCCGCGAGACCAGACCGCAGACGCTGGACTCTGGAGCCGGAGCCTGTGCGCTCTGATTCGCTGTTTTGATCCGTCAATCACCTCCCGCCGGCTTTTAATTTATTTTTATTTTTATTATTTTTGACAAAAAACAGCATACTAATTGTGTATTGTTTACCCCGTTTTGACAAAAGTATTTAACAACTATTTTAAATACAAAGCAAACGGGGTCATGCGCGTCATCAGTGTGGTTTTTGTCACTGAAGTGGACCCGAGCGTTTCTGTGCCTCACGCTGGGGAAGGAGACAGATTGTTCTCTTACAAAAGATTGACAGAATCAATGAATAAACTACTGTGGGCTTGTGTATGAAGGTCAAATAGCATTGTAATCATGTTTAAAGCAGAGAAAAGTCAAAAACCGTGATATAGGCCCTTTAATATTGTAAAACCTCACAAAAAACAAGTCTACAACAATTAATTAAGACATTCTCTCAACATGGCCCACCCCTTGTTTGTATCACCGCCTGAAAATATGTACTCACAAGAACGAAAAAGACAAATATTTCCAGTGGGCTACAGTTTTAAATATCCATTTAAAAAAAAAAAAATGACTGGCGAAAAATTCAGGCATATATAATTAGTCTTGAAAATCAATACTTTCAAAATGATTTTGCTTTGAGACAGAGGCTCAGCATGAAACGGTGTTAAAACATTTACTATCAGTATTAGAAGGTGGTCACACAGTTTCAGGCATTGCAAAGATTAAATGAAATTATTTAAGATTGCATCCTTCCAGCCATTTTCTTTGGTAGGACCTAAGCTGAATATCTATATCCGTATAATAGAAAAACAGCACAAACAGTCAGTACGAAAAGTGAGAAAACGATCAGGCATTTGATAACAAATCCATCTACAACCGTAGGGTGAAACCGGGCCACAATCAATTCAAACACACGTCTTCTCTTCGCCGTCCGTATCATTTCGCCCAAACCCAATCCAATTCCAAGAGGGCAGATCAGATAACTGTAAAACCATAATGTTGTTAAGGGTTGTTTTGTCCAATGTCTATCAGATTTATTGCTGTAAACACATTTTGCTCTTTATCTGTTGCTCAGGTGTGGCCCGGAGAGACCGTGTTCCCAGACTACACGAGCCAGGCCTGCATCGACTGGTGGGTGGATGAGTACGAGAGGTTTTCCCGGGAGATCAAGCACGACGCCCTTTGGATTGTAAGCGGTCAACAAGTCTCAACCAACCTGTGGTGAAAGATCATTTTGTTATAATACAGGGGCAAAAAGAAAAAAAAAATCCCTCCAAAAATGAATGTGAAATATGTAGCATCCATTTAAGTATTGAAGTTACATTTTATAAGTGCATAATCCGTTCAAATCAAATTTCACAGTTAGTTCAGGAAAATGAGTCATCTTGATGATAAGTGCTTGTTTTTTGGGGCTTGAACCTTTTGGCATAGGAGACTGACAAATGTGCAAGTTACTGTTTAACCATTACAGCTGGGGTACTTAAGCTTTTCTTCCTAGCTGGATTAATTATACTAACAACTGCCCTAGTTAGTAAAAAAAGAAATTCACTGCAAAGTGCACTTTTGTAAAAATACATTTCTCTTCTACGTCATTCCACCGCTGGAAACAAAGTTATTCTTTGCTTTGTTTGCATCACAAGTTACAGAACAGTGGGAATGAGGAGCACACAGCACAAGATAAGTGAACAACAAAATAATAAGTAAGCTTAAAAATTTTACATTTGTCAAAATAAGTATTGTGTATTCTAGTGCAAGCAATATGTAGTTATATGTTAGCATCTGTACATGTTAGCAGCAGTATGTTTACATCCGTACATTAGCAGCAGTATGTTTACATCTGTACATTAGCAGCAGTATGTTTACATCTGTACATTAGCAGCAGTATGTTTACGTACATTAACAGCATGAGACTCTGGGACACAGTGACTCAGTAAATCGACAGTAACACATGTGGTTCTATATTGCTGGACATGATTCCGTCATTTAGTTACAACAGCCTGGTCATCCACGATTTTCAGAAAGAAAAAAAATAGCAATAGTTTGGAAGAAGATATTGCTGCCAGAAAATTGGGTGCATAATATGTTCAGTAAAAAGCTAATTTGCTAATTTTGAGCACTTATTTTCTTAAATTATTTTTAATCTATATTTATGTATATGAACAGTATTAATACTGCACAAAATATAGTTGTTGTAGTGCTCAAGTTACCATACTTCTCCCAGCACATTGACTCCCTATGCAGCTTGACTGACAGTTTAAGGAGTTTAGCCTTCCCTGAGTCTTACCTTCCTAGCCATATGCTAACTAAAGAGGACTGTTTTAGCCTAGCCTGGAACGTAGGGTTGAAGATGCAACGGACCCACATACGCAGACTCCATGACTGGACAAAACCTGAACGGACAAAACAACCAAATGCTAAGTTGAAAAATAGTGTTTTAAGCCTGGCCTTAAATGTAGAGACCGTGTCTGCTTCCTTAACGTGCGTGGGGAGCTGATTCCACAGTAAAGGAGCTTGGTAGCTAAATGCTCTGCCACCGACAGTGCTTTTTGAAACCTTAGGGACCACCGGACGTCTGGTGTTTTGCGAGCGCAGTGCTCGGCTTGGTTGATAAGACATTAACAAGTCTTGAAGATAAGAGGGAGCCAGGCCATTTATGGCTTTGTATGCCAAGAGAAGAATTTTAAACTTTATTCTGTACTCCACAGGAAGCTAGTGAAGTGATTTTATCAAGGAACAAGGATATAAAAGCACACAAAAGAGCTACATCTGCACATGCTGAATTATAGAATAACCAACAATCAAATCTACAGAGTAAAAAAATTATCATGACATTGACTTTGACTTCACTGACCTATTAAGAGTTTTGTTACTTTAGTTCTTGCTAAATTTACCGAAAAATCGGTTTAGGCACAAAACATTTAGTTAAGTTTCTTTTTTGCGATAAAATGGATGTTAGAAAAACATAAAAAAACAGGTGAAAAAAAATGATATGGCAATATTTGAGTTTTCTTGTGTTAAAAACATTGCATTTTTCAAATACCGGTTGTATTTTGTGATTAATTTTTGTTTGCAGGACATGAATGAAGTTGCAAATTTCAAGAAAGGATCAGTCAAAGGCTGCGCTGACAACAATCTCAACTACCCTCCGTACACACCCAGTAAGTCAGTATGAGAAGATAACATAATGTTTTCAAATCTCAGAGCGAGGTCATTTCATTTCATTTCAGTTTATTATGAAACATATTTGCATACTTGATATTTATATATATATATGAAGCGTTTCTCTGTTCACAGTTGTATGGAAAGATTAGAAAAAGAAAAGTGTATAACACATTTTTTCTTTTCCTAATTTTTCTATTCTCTTTTTATGCATTGTTTTTTTAGCGAAAAATTATTTTATAATGTCAGAAATACCTCAGTTACTATGATGTGTACGTGTCTTAGATTTATATGAGCAGTCTATGCTATTTTTAAAGTCAACTTATCAAATTGGCAACTTGCCCCTGGGATGTAAACTCGTAAACCCCAGAAAATGTGGTGCATACAAGAAGATGAATGCTCTGATGGTTAGATAAAAAACACAACTGGAGATAGGTCCCCAGGCGCTGCACTGGCATTAAGAGATCAGTCAAGGGGGGACAAATTACCCTATGGGGACAGTAAAATGATCTAATACAGTTATTAAAGTAAATTACTATATCATATTTCTAATAATTTTGATCAATTATTATATCATATTTATTTGGTGGTAGGGAAAGCTACAGCACCCGGAGGGAACCAGGGACGTGGAGAACATGCAAACTCCACTCAAAAAGACCTGTTCCGACTGGGATTCAAGTGCAAACTACTCAGCCACCCTACTGCCTTTTTGTTTTTATACAGATGAATAATAATAATAATAATAATAATGATAATCATGACCTTAATTGGTGAAGTAATGCAGTTTGGCTTAGGTATAGTGCTTTCAAATTTAGGTAACAAAATCATTGCAAAAGTTTACAGTATCACAGTTCTTTGTGAAACGCCCTTGTGTGCAATTCTGCAGACACTTTCTCTTGTCACATATCTGACAGCATCCGTATACCAGCTTGGATGACCCTAAATGCGACCGGACAAGCCACTATTTTTATTACCCTGTTCTTTTGCCCATTCTTCCATTGCCTTCTATTTTCTCATTGAACACAGGATTCATCACGTCCGTCCCATTCCTTCTGTTCCATCCGGCGTTTTGTCTCATCGCTCAGCCGTGGAAGCATTAGAAGTCACCCCGCTGGCCTCTTTCACCTCGGGTTACCTTGAGTGTGTGTGTGTTCATAGGCATTCTGGACGAGGTGATGTACAGTAAGACCCTGTGTATGGACGCCAAGCAGGCCTGGGGGAACCACTACGACGTCCATAGCCTGTATGGTTATTCCATGGTGCTTGCCACAGAGAAGTAAGTAGAGCTCGTTTGATCTGGTTCATAGAGAGGACCTGTGCAGTATCACAGGGTTTTCACAAGTGGTAATGACTCCAGACTCATTTTGAATTGAATATAATGGCTGTGCCTGTGAAACACAGGCTGGCAGGAGTAAAATTATATGTGAATGTTGCCATGCTTATTGCTGGGACTCCAAACTTTCAGTCCACACAATAAGCAGTGGCGCCACCTGAATGTGAAGGTGTGATCCTGTCAGATCTCCGAAGCTAAGCAAGGCAAGGCCGGTTTGTACAGGGACTTGTGGGAACACAAGATGCCACAGTGGGGCGGCTGTAAAGTGCCTAACTTTATTCTTAGTCAAGACACTTCACCCACATTGCCGAGTATGAGTCGGTGTGTGTGTGTAATAGTTTATCTCTACAGTGTTTGGAATGAATGAATCATGCTATGTGAAGCAGCTTTGAATATCAAAAAAAGCAATATATTTTGCTATGTGGCAAGAGCTCTGGTGTGTGTGGTGCACACTGGGGTAGTCTTGCACAGTTTTTCCAATGTGGTTTTACTGCAAATGGCAAATAAATGAATCTGAATCTGTAATATATAACTCTTTTTGAACAAACATTATTTATGGGGGAAAAGGGTTGGGTTAGCATTAACTACACTATAGTACATGACTTTGGTATAGTATGAATATCAAATCTTTATTTGTCCCAGAAAGAGGGACAAATAAAGAGGAGAGGAGAAATGTCAATGTTTCTCCAGGTTGATTACGAGATCTTTAAAGTTGTGCGAGTTTAACCGGGTGCTACGTAGTACGAGAGAAAGGTATTTTTCTGAAATGATTGAAGGCTGCAGTAACAATTTGCGTGTTCTGTTTTCAACAGTTAATAGATTAACAAACCCCCCTGTTCAGCTTCCATTAGAGCTTACTTCCAAACATGAATGCAATGAGTTTGCACACTTTTTCAATTACAAGGTTCAAGGCATCAAAAACGCCATTGTCTCCAATCCACAGATAACCATCCAACAGCCAAAAAGGCTCTCTGAGCTAACTCACTTTGTACCTGTAGATGATAAAAATGTCCAAGCGATAATCTCCAGTCTGAGCTCCTCCACATGCAGCCTGGATGTACTACCCACTAGATTTTTGAAGTCTGTTCTGAGCAGTCTGTTGCCTTCACTCACACAGATAGTAAACATGTCCCTTCATTCTGGAATATTCCCAAAGGCCCTGAAAACGGCAGTCATCAGGCCCCTTCTAAGAAGCAGTCTGGATGCTACTGTACTTAACAACTATCGTCCCATCTCAGATCTGCCATTTATGGGGAAAGTCCTTGAAAAAGTTGTCTACAATCCGTGTATCATTCGTTCTTTTGATTTTCTAAATAAAACCAACATTGAAAAAACGAATAACGAGGGATGTTTTTGATTCCCAATATTTGAATTTAATGCAACATTGAAATATCGGTTTGTTTTTGGTTTTCTGTGGATCCAATTAAAACGAAAATGCAGTAAACCAATAATGACCGTCTAAATTACTGTTTGCGAATTCCATTTGAAACACAAGAATCCCCCGGAAGTGATTCGCAAGTGCGCACCCCGCAGGTAAACAGTGGAGTAGCGGTGGAGATGAACTAAATGATGGGTGCGTTGGAAGACTTTGCAGATACAGCGATAGAATGGTTCTAAAACATTCAAACATATGCAGAAATATCAACCACGTTACACCGACTAGGTTTGTCCAAATGTCAAGTCATCAGCTGAGTCATGTCCCTTCTTTTTGATACAGTGGTTAATCACGAAAGCAAACTTTTTGAAGTGGCGTTATTTCATCGTATAGGGCTCACAGAAAGGTATTCTGAGTAAATGTATTCATTAAACATGGATCATGTTCCTGCCCTTTTTTTTTACATATCAGCCGCCTTAAAACTATTGCTGCTCCATCTCTTTTTCCTTGAATAATTTTATTGCAACATTCAAGAGGGATTCTGTCTCCCGAGGCTCAGGAATCACAGCTTGTTGTGTTTTGGCAAATTAAGAAGGCCAAAGACTATATTCATCATGTATGTAAATCTTCTGTGTGTCTGTTCCAGTGTAAATATTTTTGATTAGTTTGTTCCCAAATTAAAACACTTGGACACAATTCTGTAAATTTTTTTTCTAAATTGTGTTGAATCGCAATGGAAAACCCGTTAAAACAAATAAACTATTAGTGGATTATGTATCAATAGATTTATGAATTAGGAAATGACATTCTTAACTAAACAAGAATGTAAAATGACAAGTTGTGTATTTGAATGTACCTTTACAGAACAACTTACACCTCAGACTTCCTTTCAGCAGCAACATGGGTCCAATTTTATTTAGACTTTACTAAGGACTTACATGCAAGAACAGGATCCAGAGCTAAGAATGAAAGAACAATACAAAAAAAAAAAAGCTGTGTTAAAAAGACACATAATCACATATTTACAGCAAGTCACACATACAAAGAAGCCAGTGACTCCAAAGTTTAGAAGTGAACCTGACTGAGCTAATGTAAGGGCAAACCAGGGACTGTACAATACTATTAGGTACCCTCATGACTCTACACATGACTGATAGTAGCATTAGGTACCATCATGACTCTACACATGACTGATAGTAGCAGTGACGTAGGAAAGGAGCGCTCCCTGCACTCAGCAAACATCTGACTGGACGACTGTGTCTGGGTTCTTCAGCAGCGTCCTCATTGAGTCATAGGAAACTGTTAACCTCTGCAGACTGACTGCTTGTAGCTCCGCCACAGTTGGTCTGTGAATAAAGGAGCCCAAAAAGACTGGAACAAGGAGGTTTTTACATTCATAGAACACGTTAGACTTCATAACCAGCATGTTAGATTGACCATACAGTTTACATCTGTGAGGTCACTGCATGTGTAATGCCCATTAAGACCAGGACAACTGGATTTAAGAACAGTTTTTACACTTTCAAATGTGACAGAACATAATGTACACTGATGAGTACGTGCTTTTTCATGCAATGATTCTAATTTTGTAACATAAATTTACAATGATAAACACGAGTTGAAAGTTTAAAATGTAAAGGAACAAAAAGGAGATTTGTAGATCAGTTATTATTAATTTTATTGCATTGACAAACACATCCATCTTTGCAGATCACTGGTACCGGCCAGGACCAGCTGGAGAGCTTTGCAGATCACTGGTACAGGCCAAGGCTGGGAGTAGTGTGAAGTCTGAAACCTTTACCTGCTGCACACCCAGTGAGATCTAAAACAGAAAAGTGGGTTTAGAACAGACATAATTATTACTTGTTATAACTTAACTATCTTATAAAGTCAGCAGAAGAGAAATAGTAACCTCCAAACACGGTGGCATGGGCGGCACGGTGGCTGAGTGGATAGCACTCTCGCCTCTCAGCAAGAAGGTCCTGGGTTCGAATCCCGGTTGGACCAGGGCCTTTCTGAGTGGAGTTTGCATGTTCTCCCCGTGTCTGTGTAGGTTTCCTCCGGGTGCTCCGGTTTCCCCTACCACTAAAAATATGTACAATAGGTCTGGCATGTGCCTCCTGTACTGGCACCCCCACTCCAAAAAATAACAATTGTAAACCGCTTTGAGACTCCTATGTGCAGTGAAAAGGCGGTATATAAATAAAGCTTACTACTTACTACTACAAACAGAAAGATGCTATGCTAGTCATGTATCAGGACAGGAACTCAAACTGAACATGAGCCCAGCGGCTTTGACTGTTTCAAACCTGCAGTCTTTCTGACTGTTTCAAACCTGCAGTCTTTCTGACTGTTTCAAACCTGCAGTCTTTCTGACTGTTTCAAACCTGCAGTCTTTCTGACTGTTTCAAACCTGCAGTCTTTCTGACTGTTTCAAACCTGCAGTCTTTCTGACTGTTTCAAACCTGCGGTCTTTCTGACTGTTTCAAACCTGCGGTCTTTCTGACCGTTTCAAACCTGCAGTCTTTCTGACTGTTTCAAACCTGCAGTCTTTCTGACTGTTTCAAAACTGGCAGTCTGAGGGCTCCTCGTTTCTCTTCATAAGCCTGAAGCATCTAGCTCTAACTACTGTCCCTCGACAATAATTGAGAATGAAGCAGAAACAAAGCACAATTGAATGGTTAAGGTACATCTAGCATCATCTTTTATTTACTAAAATTTAGCATAATTACTTTCACCAATACACACACATATCATGTTCTTATATAATATGAAAGTCTATAACATACATTTATAATAATAAAGCACCCAAATTAGGTGCATTTGTTACATGTGTAAGTGTTTCATGTATGTGCTTAAGCTAAATGTGTCGTCGCTAACGCTAACTTAGCTGTTAGCGCTAGTTGCTAAGTTATGTCTTACCTTGACACTTGTGTATATATTTTTAATCGAAGAAAACACTTCTCTCGTGAATCTGAGAATTCTCATCTGCGATGGTCTCTGCAGCAGCGAACGAAAAAGCTGGTAATCTGACTGATGTTGAGGAGAGTTTTAAGAGACATTTCTCCTACAACCAACGCTAACAAGATGCGATCCAAGTACCTGGAGGCGACACTTCCTGTTCTAGTGACAAACTCGCACTTTCGAATCACTTCCGGGGGACGTTTGTGTTTCAAAGGAAAATCGCAAAATGTAATTTAGACGGTCATTATTGGTTTACTGCATTTTTGTTTTAATTGGATCCACAGAAAACAAAAAAACAAACCAATATTTCTATTTTGCATTAAATTCAAATATTGAGAATCAAAAATATCCCTCGTTATTCGTTTTTTCAATGTTGGTTTTATTTAGAAAATCAAAAGAACGAATGATACACGGATTGTCTTCCTACAGCTTACTAGATTTCTTATAATCAACAACTCATTTGATATGTTTCAGTCCGGCTTTAGACCCCACCACAGCACTGAGACTGCCCTCGTCAAGGTTACAAACGACATCCGACTGAACACTGACGCAGGCCAAGTCTAATCTTGTTATATCTTAGTGCTGCCTTTGACACCGTCGACCA